CCACAGAGAGGTCGCAAAGGCGCAATTCGATCCAGGGCCCCAGACGCTGCCTCATTCCAGGCCGCAACCACGGACCCGGACGAGTTGTGGACAAGGGAGTCAGGTATTTCCCCAAGTTCCTCCTGGAACCGATCTGGGTCCATTAGGCGCCTGGGGCGGAAGTCCAGCCTCAATAGGAAATGATCTGTCCATGACAAGGGCGACATCTCTATTCCCCTTAATTCCAGAATATGTCTCCATTGCCCCGAGAGAAACACAAGGTCGAGTGTGTGACCACCCCTATGAGTCGGATCCTGAATTACCTGGGTCAGGTCTATGGTTGCCATGGAAGCTATGAACTCTTTCACTGCCTCTGAGCGATCACCGAGTGATGGTAGGTTAAAGTCCCCCAGTACCATAAATCTGAGGAACTCCACCGCCAACCCGGCTACTGACTCCAGCAGCGCAGGCAGGGCTGTTGCAACGCAGCTGGGAGGTAGGTACGTCAGCAGCAAGCCCAACTGAACCCGTGAACCCAACTTCAATAGGAGGGACTCACACCCAACAACCTCCGGGGCAAGAATCCCACGAGGACTCAAGGACTTCCGAGCGATGACTGCCACTCCCCCACCCCTGCCCTGATGTCGAGCCTGATGAAGCACCACAAACCCGCCTGGGTACATCTCCGAGAGGGAAACACCCCCCTCAGGGCCCAGCCAGGTTTCGGTTATACATGCCAGGTCCGCCCCGCTGTCCAATATTAAATAACGGACAAGGGGGGCTTTGTTGACAATGGACCTGGCATTAAGCAACAGCAGCCTACAACTAGGGCCCTGTACTCCCCTGTCACCAGTACTACAGGATGAGCCTTTTGAGGGGCCGGAACAAGGAATCGCTCTAATATAGCGAGTCCTCGTTCCCCAAAGATGGCCTGCTCCTTGGCTCCTGCCATATCTGCCCATCCCAGTCATAACCGGGATGCTCCGACCTTCTCCCCTCCCCGGAGTACCCCCACCCTCACCAGCCTTCTCTCTTCCTGACCGGACTAGCTTTCCATACAGACCAAGCCCAAGGGTAAGTCCTGCTCCCCCTGCTTTTGCTATTGCACTCAGCAGAGGGGGTACCAGGCTCCGCCCCCGACTCCACCATTCTCATACCCCAAACACTCAATACACATTCACACTCAATTTATATACATAAAAATAAAAATATTCACATTCATACGCCCTAAATACAATAATAAAATTTATACATAACAGGGCCACCATTCATCTACATACATACACATACCCACAACAAACATTCTCTAAAAAATATTGCCCCTCTGTGTCCCAGACTGGTCCAATGTGGCCGGCTAGGTGATCATTAGGTACTTGTCTTGGGGCAGCCCGTACTTGGCCTTATGCTCCTCAAAGAGCTGGGTCAACTTCTCCAAGTGCCTCTCGTGCAGCTCATCAATGGCTTCTCCGGACATCCAACAATTATGTAAAGTCAACCCAGCCACGGTGGGACTGTAATTCATCTTCTTTCACGGGGTGCCAGTATAGGCTGGCTCCTCCGGGATGCTTGACAGCCTCCCCATGGGCCCGTTCCCCAACGCCGGCCCGCCGCTTTCCCTGGCGGGACCCAGCAACAGTGTACAATTGAAGCTGAAGGTGCTGGCTTTGTTGTTGTGCTTCCTGTTGTTGCTGGCCGTCATCGCAACGTTGCCGCCGGGGCAGCGGGCGAAGTCACGCGGGGAGCCCAAGTCACCGGAAAAGGCCCCACCACGGAGCCTGAGGAAAACGAAGAGGCGGCGGCGGCGATGATGGCAGAGAAAAAGGAAAAGGAAGCCGCGCGCGGGGCAGCGAGTGTCGGCTGAGCGCCGGGCCGGATTGCCCAGGCAGGTGGCTGCAGCGAGGCCTGCCGCCGCGGGGGAGGCTGCGGCTGCTGGTGGGGCAGGCCGGCACTCTCCAGTGGCAGAAAGTCGGGCCGTGGGTCGCCGCCACGCGGGAAGCGGGACATGCTGGGCGACGGGGACGAGACGGTGGCGGCCTCCAGGCACAACGAGGCGGCCGAGGTGGCAGACGAAGAAGTCGAGGAGGAGGCCGAGGAGGAGGCCGGGACGGCGGGCTGGGGCAGCGGGCTGGGGCGGCGGCGGTGGCTGCTACTGCTACTGGCAGGCGAGCTGGCTCCAAGGCCTATCTCCTCTTCCCTCCACCAGCTCCTCCAGCCCTTCCAGCTCAGCAGTGGAAGAGATCTTCGGGGTTGCTTCGCTTCCCGGCTCGAAGGCGAGGAAAACCTCCAGCTAAGTCCTTCTTGGTCCGGTGGGGGGGGTCTCTCTCTCGGGCAGAGGTGAGGGTCGTGGGCAGCAGCAGCCAGGCACGTCCGGCCTCCCCGCTCTCGAGCTTTGCTAGAAAACATGCTGCTTGCTAATTTAGCAGAAGCACAAATCAGCTGTAGCTTGGCGCTGATCCTGGGGTTTCTGCTAACTTAGCAAGCGACATGTTTTCTGGTGAAGCTGAGCAAGTGAGCTGGGCGGAGCTCTCCTGTGCCTCTGCCTGTGCACAGGCAGGTTTGGCATGTCGCCATGGCCACCGGCAGCAAATCCACCAGCCCCGCTGGCAGCCTGTCCCCCTCCCCTTGTCCCTTCCTGGGCATGGAGGGGGGGAGGAAGGAAGGGATGAAGAGGGAGGGAAGTAAGGGACAATGAGAGAGGGAAGGAAGGAAAGAACAATGGAAGGGAGGGAAGGAAGGAAGGGACAAAGAGGGAAGGAAGGAAGGAAGGGACAAGGGGAGAAGGAAGGAAGAAGGGAGAGACTAAAGGAGGTGAAGGAAAGGAAGGAAGGGACAATGGGAAAGGGAGGGAAGGAGTAGAGACTAAGGAAGATGAAGGAATGGAAGAAAAGAAGGAAGGAAGGGACAATGGGAGAGAGGGAAGGAAGGAAGAGACTAAGAAGGAGGTGAAGGAAAGGAAGGAAAGAAGGAAGGACAATGGGAAAGAGGGAGGGAAGGAGGAAGAGACTATGGAAGATGAAGGAAAGGAAGAAAAGAAGGAAGAAAGGGACAAGGGGAGAGAAGGGAGGGAAGGAAGGCAGGCACCCACCCCAGTCCTATCCCAGAGACCCACAGATTCCCCCCCCCCACAGGCACTCTGCAACCTGAGTGATCAGCTGGCCACGCCCCCTGTCCATTGATCACGTGACCCTGGGAGACTGTGAATGTCATAAGTATGAATCAGTTGCCAAGCATCCAAACGTAAATCACATGACCCTGGGGATGCTGCAATAATCATAAACGTGAAAAATGATCATAATTCACTTTTTCAGTGCTGTTGTAACTTCAAACAGTCACTAAGTGAATTGTTGTAAGTCAAGGACTTCCTATACTTTCCCATTTTTTCCTTTTTTTTGGTCAGGTTTTTGATACCGCCCCTCCCGCCAGCTGGATGGAGGGCTGGGGGTCACCACAACATGAGGAACTGTATTAAAGGATCGCAGCATTAGGAAGGTTGAGAACCACTGGTATAGGACCTCCTGCCTGAGCAGGGGGTTGGACTAGAAGACCTTCAAGGTCCCTTCTAGCTCTGTTCTGATAGAGTGAATTGGCAACATCTGTGTCTAGAAAGCGGATACTGCAATTCAGCAGGCAGCCTCTGTGGTTGAATTTAAAGGAGTTAAAGTCATAGAGTACGGCACTGCTAGAAAGGATGAGAAGTGCAAAGGAACTTTCTCTCCTGGATCTCTCATTAGAGGAGGATGGTGTGCAGAGAGGCTCTTGTGCTCTTCCAAGGATCTAAGCAGCAGCTGGGAGGTGAGTTGAAGAGAGGTCGGAGGAGGCTGAGAGCGAGTAGGCTGTTTGATTTCCTCCACTGCGTGGAAGCAGAGAAGCAATTCGGCTGAAGCATGTCAGCTGCTGCTGCTGCTGCTGCTAATCCTTTCCCTCCCCAACTTTTAAGTCCACTGGTGCTGCACGCTGTTAAACTGGGGGCTGCAATTTTGTGCTGATGGGAAGATTTCAAAAGTTTCCTTCAAGTGAAGGTTGATACTTTGGGAATGGCTTCCCTCCAGAGGTTGTGGGTGCTCCGTCACTGGAGGTTTATAACAGAGTTGGAAGGAACCTTAGAGGTCTTCTATTCCAACCCCTGCTGAAGCAGGAGACCCTATACCATTTCAGACAAATGGCTGTCCCGTCTCTTTAAAAGCCACCACTGATGGAGCGTCCACAACTTCTGAAGGCAAACCGTTCCATTGGTTAATTGTTTTCAGGGTCAGGAATTTTTTTCCTTAGTTCTAGTTTACGTCTCTCCTTGATTAGTTTCCATCCACTGCTTATCTTTCCTTCTGATGATTTGGAAAATAAGTTGACCCCCCTCTTCTTGCCCCCTCAAGTATTGGAACATGTCACCCCTAGTCCTTCCTTTCACTAAACTAGACATATCCAGTTCCTGCAGCTATTCTTTATATGTTTTAGCCTCCAGTCCCATAACCATCCTTACTGCTTTCTCTTTGCTCTTTATAGAATCTCAACACTTTTTATATATTGTGGTGACCAAAACTGGATGCAGTATTCCCAGTATGGTCTTACCATAGCAATATAAAGTGGTGCTAACACTTCACCTGATCTTCAATCTCTGTTTAGGCAGCTTAGGATTGCATTGGTTGTTTTGGCCACTGCATCACAGTGTTGGCTCGTATCTAAGTGCTTGTCCACTAAAACTTCAAGATGTCATAAAATTGAGTTCAGGCCCCTCAAGTGAATTTTTCCAATAGTTCTTTTATTCTTGTGTTATTTGGACAAAAAGCAAGGCATTTATGCTTAATTAGTTCCTTTGTGTTTATACATATACTTGTCTAATTTTAAAGTTATTTTACTATAGTAAGTTATTCCCAACAGGCTATTCAGGTTACTATGCCCAACAAGGCTACTCAAGTTGCTGTAACTATTGCTGCCCAACTAGGCTACTCATTCACACAATACTCACATATCCTTTCAACACAGGTGATCAGGCTACGTTAGAATGGGCTGGAAAGCAGATTCAGGGTGTCCCCTGCTCCAACAAGTCTTGAAATTGGGGTCTGGTTCATCCCAGTCTTCTCTTTATACCCAACTTGTTTACTCAGAATCCATGTGTATGACAATCTTGCCCCAACCATGCCAGAAACTTTACATTGTCATGCTTTGGTCCAAGACTTCATAAAAAAATTAAACCTCCTATACTCTTTCCGCCCACTAATGTTCTACCTGGTATCACGAACACTAGATCGTTCATACAGGCACCCAGAATCTTTCCTTATCAGTAGTACACACATTCCAGCAACGTGAGTTTCCCCAATGAGATCTCACGAAAAGGCTAACTATGCTTGCATTGCAGGCCCTCTATAATTATAACTTATATTTGTGATATGTTCATAACATACAACATAAAATATGTAACAAAGATCCCTCTCGCAGTTACTGCTATTGAGCCATGTTCCCCCTCTTCTGTACCTTGACATTTGCTTTTTCTTGCCTAAGAGTAAAACCTAATTTTTTTTCTCCATTGAATTTTTTATTTGGAAAAAGGTTTTATTGATTTTCTAATTTTACATTTAAGTATTTGAAAAGCAATGTGGCGGCTGGGTTAACTGATAATTCAGTGACATACAGATATCTTTAATACAAATCTCAAAATACCACATTAAATATTTTTTTATAACAAGTTTTTATTGGTTTTCCAGTTTTACATTTAAGTATTTGGAAAACAGCCTGGGGATTGAATAGTCAATAGTACAATAACAAAAGTACATATCTCAGGTTACATCATCAAAAATTCATTCTCTATTTCCCTTAACATTTACTGTATCATATTTAGGCTAATAAAATTCTTTTCAGTCTTATCACTTTATTTATACAAATGGGTATTTTATGATTCTCCGCAGCTTCTATGACAGATGTTTAGTACATATGAAACTCCATAATGACAGCCACTGAATGGGACTATCTTCAACACATTCTTAGCATTTCACACAACTCCCTCAAGTTTTCTGACCTTTGTTGTACACTTTCCTCCCTACAATCAGAGATTTCCAGACCTCAAAACCCATTCTGCAATAAATGTCACCTGTTTAGGGGTTACCTGGCTATGTTAGTTATATTTAAGCTTACATTTAAATAGGAACCTGTGGTATTAAAATTGTACTTTTTAAAAATTGATATAGAATATATTTTTCTTATAATATTTTATTGGTTTTCCAGTTTTACATTTAAGACATCAGAGGACTGACACCATGTTTGAGTGCCTGGATAATGTGAAAGTTTCATTTAAAATTCCCACGTCATGAGACAGCAGAGGACTCACACAGGAGAGAAACCCTTTGAATGTCCTGATTGTGGTAAAGGTTTTAGTGACAATTCCAGCCTGGTAACACACCAGATGTCTCACACAGGAGAGAAACCCTTTGAATGTCCTGATTGTGGTAAGGGTTTCAGCAACAAATGCAACCTAGTGAGACACCAGAGGACTCACACAGGCGAGAAACCCTTTGAATGTCCTTATTGTGGTAAAGGTTTAAGTGACAATTCCAGCCTGGTAACACACCAGAGGACTCACACAGGAGAGAAACCCTTTGAATGTCCTGATTGTGGTAAAGGTTTCAGTACCAATTTCAGCCTGGTAACACACCAGAGGATTCACACAGGAGAGAAACCCTTTGAATGTCCTTATTGTGGTAAAGGTTTCAGGGACAATTCCAGCCTGGTAAAACACCAGAGGACTCACACAGGAGAGAAACCCTTTGAATGTCCTTATTGTGTTAAAAGTTTCAGTACCAATTCCAGCCTGGTGAGACACCAGAGGACTCACACAGGTGAGAAACCCTTTGAATGTCCTTATTGTGGTAAAGGTTTCCGTGACAATTACAACCTGGTAACACACCAGAGGATTCACACAGGAGAGAAACCCTTTGAATGTCCTGATTGTGGTAAAGATTTCAGTGACAATTCCAGCCTGGTAACACACCAGAGGATTCACACAGGAGAGAAACCCTTTGAATGTCCTGATTGTGGTAAAGGTTTCAGTACCAATTCCAGCCTGGTGAGACACCAGAGGACTCACACAGGAGAGAAACCCTTTGAATGTCCTGATTGTGGTAAAGGTTTCAGTTTAAATTCCACCCTGGTAACACACCAGAGGATTCACACAGGAGAGAAACCATTTGAATGTTCTTATTGTGGTAAAGGTTTCAGTCAGAATTCCACCCTAGTAACACACCAGAGGACTCACACTGGAGAAAAATCCTTTGAGTGTCCTGATTGTTAAAAATGTTTCAGTACACATTCCATTCTCACTCCAAGCGAGAGATATTTCAAAGAGGAAAGAACAAAACAAAGGAAATACATGGCAAGACATCCATAGTTCCCCTCCCCCCCATAGAATGGCAGAAGCCAAAAGTGAGAAAAAGGAAAGGGGTAAAAGGGAAAAAGGGGTTTTGATACTTACATTCTGATGCACTTCTGGATTTCAGAGAAATGTAGATAGAACACATCAAGAAAACATAAATACCTCTCAGGAGGAAATATATACTGCAATTAATTCAAACAACAATGAATTCAAATCACAAATCCAAAATAAATTTTAAAATATAAATTGATCTATTTCTAAGTTAACTCTACAACAAAAAAAACTTCCAGGAAACAACAACAGAGAAGGAGCAGACAAAACAAATAAGTGAATATAAAATTGAAAATAGCGACTCAAAGATGGAACTTAACAAAGCAAGAAAACATGATTTAATCCTAGTGGAAAAAACAACTCATCCCTTAAGACTACAAAATAAATCTGAGGACAAAAAAACAGATTGGATAAAATGGAATGTAGAGATGTTGAAAACATCAGAGAGAAAGGAAGTGATAAGAGAAGCAGAGAAGAAGAAAAAGATTTTCAAGAAACACAGAAAGGCAAAAGCCTCATATAAAGACACTTTATTTGATTTACTTCTTATACCTACAGCAACAGTCATGAATATATGGGAAAACTTTTTGATTCAGCAAAATACATTGATCAAGAAACATACTGGTCAAAGGAAAAAGATTAAAGTGAAAATTAAGAAAATAGATGATGGGATCTACCAGAGAGAATATTTTAAAAAGAGACATTTGTTTGAATATGATTAAAGAAGTAGAAAAGATTTTGAACATATATGTCATTCTAAGAGGGATGAATTCCTTAAATAATACTGTATGCTTTCACCCCCTTTTTATTTTATTTCCTGATATAAGTAACAATACTGTTGAAATGGCTTAGATGAAGGAAATGTTTTAGATAATTAAATGTGTTTGAATTTAGGGAAATTATAATGTATAAAAAAGAAAAAATGTTTGAATAAGAGTTAAAGGATTAGATGACTAGACACATTAAATGGAATATTTAAAGATTAAATATATTTTAATTATGGTTAAAAAAAAGAAATGGGGAAATTTGGGGAATGAATATATATTAGCTTAGGAGGAATATATATTTTAAGTAGTATTTTACTTTTATGTTTCTTTACTCTTGCTCTCTTTTCCTTTTGTTTACTGTTTTTACCTATCCTTTAAGAAACGTAAAATTATGGAGATGGTTTATATGGGAAAAATGGATTTATATCTTTAAATGTAATTAACTGTTGAGAAGATCTTAACGAGCAAGAATACTTTGAACTTTATGGGAGAAACAAATTTAAATAAGGACTGTAACAGGATATAAGATGATTACTGTTTACCAACACTGTTTACCAACTGCTAAGTAATTTATGACTAAAAACATCAGTAAAATATGTGAGTTTAAAGAAACTTATTATTCTGTAATTCTGTAAAAACGTCATGAATTTTTAGGGTTCACTATATGGCTGATCACAAGCTAAGTCGCATCATAGTTTATTATTTCACTTGATTCAGTTGCAAAGGTCGGTTGCTTAAAGTCAAAGACTATTTGATAGAATGCAATAAATGACAATATCTTGCAAATGCCTTAGGTACCTGTCTGAAATGGTATAGGATAGCGGTTCTCAACCTGTGGGTTGTGACCCTTTTGGGGGGTTGCACGAGCCTTTCACAGGGGTCACCTAAGACAATCGGAAAACACATATTTCCGATGGTCTTAGGCAGGGCTTGTCAATCGCCTTCTCTCCCCCCGCGGAAGTGCCTCCCTTCCTCCCTCCTCCGCTCCATCTCACTTGTTTGTGGAAAATATGGTGCTTGGCGGCAGTCTGCACGAACTCTACCAAATGTGCCCTGCAGGGGCGCATGAAGAGCGCAGGTGCAGAGCAAGGCCCCGCCCTCCCCAGAGACTCATTGTGCAGCAACCAGATTGACTTCTTGTGCACGCAGGTCAGCAAAGGGGAGGCCGCCCAGCACCCAGCTCCTGCGCCGGTCAGCTGGCAACCCCCGAACTTGCGCTTGTCAGCCGGGATGTCTGGAAACGGCCACCGGTCTCCTTTGCCACCCCGCCCGTCCTCAACTCCTCCTCCATGTCGAGCCCGCCAGGGCTCGACAGGGAGAGAGGGAGGGAAGGAGCAAGGGACTCCTCTCCTAAACTTCAAAACATGATTGGCTTCCCAACGGCGCCACAATCCCCACGAAAGTGGGGGGGAGAAGCAAAGGGGGCGAGAAAGCTCGCGGCAGGCTCGAAGGAGCACCTGTCAGTGTTGGTGACAAGAAATTCTCCACAAACCCAAGGAAGGGATGGAGAAAAGGAGCCCCATTTGGGAGGAAACCACCACCTTCTCCTTGGCTTTGTGGTCTTCTGTTCCTCGGCAGCCGGGCTGCCAAGCCTCTGCTGGCTGGAACATCCTTTCCTTCCCTCCCTCTTGGTCTCTTCCTCCTTCCCTCCCTCTCCCATTGTCCCTTCCTTTTTCCTTCCTTCCTTCCTTCCTTCCTTCCTTCCTTCCTTCCTTCCTTCCTTCCTTCCTTCCTTCCTTCCTTCCTTCCTTCCTTTTGCCTCCCTCTTTGTCCCTCCTTCCCTCCCTCTTTCCCCTTGTCCCTTCCGTTCTTCCTTCCCTCTTGTCCCGGATCAGGGTGAGCCTCTACAGCTGATCCACGCTTCTGCAGAGCAGCCCAGAAGCAGATCAGCTGTAGCAGCTCTCCTTGGCTCCTGCCCAGCAAACTTGCTCGAGCTTTGCTGGAAAACATTGCTAATTTAGCAGAAGCGCGAATCAGCTGTAGCTTGGCGCTGATCCTGGGGCTTCTGCTAACTTAGCAAGCGGCATGTTTTCTGGGGAAGCTGAGCAAGTGAGCTGGGTGGAGTTCTCCTCTGCCTCTTCCTGTGCACAGGCAGGTTTGGCATGTCGCCATGGCCACCGGCAGCAAAGCCACCAGCCACGCTGGCAACCTGTCCCCCTCCCCTTGTCCCTTCCTGGGCATGGAGGGGGGGAGGAAGGAAGGGACGAAGAGGGAGGGAAGTAAGGGACAATGAGAGAGGGAAGGAAGGAAGGAACAATGGAAGGGAGGGAAGGAAGGAAGGGACAAAGGGAAGGAAGGAAGGAAAGAAGGAAGGAAGGAAGGGACAAGGAGATGGAGAGAAGAAGTAAGAGACTAAGGGAGGGGAAGGAAAGGAAGGAAGGAAGGAAGGGACAATAGGAGAGAGGGAGGGAAGGAGGAAGAGACTAAGGGAGGTGAAGGAAAGGAAGGAAAGAAGGAAGGAAGGGACAATGGGAGAGGGAAGGAAGGAGGAAGAGACTAAGAAGGAGGTGAAGGAAAGGAAGGAAAGAAGGAAGGGACAATGGGAAAGAGGGAGGGAAGGAGGAAGAGATTAAGGGAGGTGAAGGAAAGGAAGGAAAGAAGGAAGGAAGGGACAATGAGAGGGAGGGAAGGAGGAGGAGACTAAGAAGGTGAAGGAAAGGAAGGAAAGAAGGAAGGGACAAGGAGAGGGAAGGAAGAAGGGAGAGACTAAAGGAGGTGAAGGAAAGGAAGGAAGGAAGGGACAATGGGAAAGGGAGGGAAGGAGGAAGAGACTAAGGAAGATGAAGGAAAGGAAGAAAAGAAGGAAGAAAGGGACAAGGGGGGAGAAGGGAGGGAAGGAAGGCAGGCACCCCCCCCAGTCCCATCCCAGAGACCCACAGATTCCCCCCCCCCCACAGGCACTCTGCAACCTGAGTGATCAGCTGGCCACGCCCTCTGGCCATTGATCACGTGACCCTGGGACACTGTGAACATCATAAGTATGAATCACTTGTCAAGCATCCGAATGTAAATCACATACCCTGGGATTGCTGCAACAATCATAAGTTTGAAAAATCATAATTCACTTTTTCAGTGCTGTTGTAACTTCAAATAGTCACTAAGCAAATTGTTGTAAGTCAAGGACTACCTATACTTTCCCATTTTTTCCTCTTTTTTTTGGTCAAGTTTTGATACCCCCCTGGCCAGCTGGATGGAGGGTTGGGGGTCACCACAACATGAGGAACTGTATTAAAGGATCGCAGCATTAGGAAGGTTGAGAACCACTGGTATAGAGCCTCTTGCCTGAGCAGGGGGTTGGACTAGAAGACCTTCAAGGTCCCTTCTAGCTCTGTTCTGATAGATTGAATTGGCAACATCTGTGTCTAGAAAGCAGATACTGCAATTCAGCAGGCAGCCTCTGTGGTTGAATTTAAAGGAGTTAAAATCATAGAGTACGGCACTGCTAGAAAGGATGAGAAGTGCAAAGGAACTTTCTCTCCTGGATCTCTCATTAGAGGAGGATGGTGTGCAGAGAGGCTTTTGTGCTCTTCCAAGGATCGAAGGATCAGCTGGGAGGTGAGTTGAAGAGAGGTCGGAGAAGAGGCCGGGAGCGAATCGGGCTGTTTGGTTTCCTCCACTGCGTGGAAACAGAGAAGCAATTCGGCTGAAGCATGTCAGCTGCTGCTGCAAATCCTTTCCCTCCCCAACTTTTAAGTCCACTGGTGCTGCAGGCTGTTAAACTGGGGGCTGCAATTTTGTGCTGGTGGGAAGATTTAAAAAGTCTCTTTCAAATGAAGGTTGATTCTTTAGGAATGGCTTCCCTCCAGAGGTTGTGGGTGCTCCGTCACTGGAGGTTTATAACAGAGTTGGAAGGAACCTTAGAGGTCTTCTATTCCAACCCCTGCTCAAGCAGGAGACCATTTACTATTTCAGACAAACGGCTGTCCCCTCTCTTCAAAAGCCACCACTGATGGAGCGTCCACAACTTCTGAAGGCAAACCGTTCCATTGGTTAATTGTTTTCAGGGTCAGGAAATTTTTCCTTAGTTCTAGTTTACTTCTCTCCTTGATTAGTTTCCATCCACTGCTTATCTTTCCTTCTGATGGTTTGGAAAATAAGTTGATCCCCCCCCCCTCTTCTTGCCCCCGCAAGCATTGGAACATGTCACCCCTAGTCCTTCCTTTCACTAAACTAGACATATCCAGTTCCTGCAGCTATTCTTTATATGTTTTAGCCTCCAGCCCCATAACCATCCTTACTGCTTTCTCTTTGCTCTTTATAGAATCTCAACACTTTTTATATATTGTGGTGACCAAAATTGGATGCAGTATTCCCAGTATGGTCTTACCATAGCAGTATAAATTGGTGCTAACACTTCACCTGATCTTCAATCTCTGTTTAGGCAGCCTCGGATTGCATTGGCTGTTTTGGTCACTGCATCACGGTTTTGGCTCGTATCTAAGTGCTTGTCCACTAAAACTTCAAGATGTCATAAAATTGAGTTCAGGCCACTCAAGTGAAGTTTTCCAGTAGTTCTTTTATTCTCGTGTTATTTGGATAAAAAGCAAGGCATGCATGCTTAATTAGTTCCTTTATGTTTATACATATATTTGTCTAATTTTAAAGTTATTTTACTACAGTAAGTTATTCCCAACAAGCTATTCAGGTTACTATACCCAACAAGGCTACTCAAGTTGCTGTAAGTATTGCTGCCCAACTAGGCTACTCATTCACACAATTGTCATATATCCTCTCAACACAGGTGATCAGGCTATGTTAGAGTGGGCTGGGAAGCAGATTCAGGGTGTCCCCTGCTCCAACTAAGGTGTCTTGAAATTTGGGGTCTGGTTCATCCCAGTCTTCTCTTTATACCCAACTTGTTTATTCAGAATCCATGTGTATGGCAATCAACCCCAGCCATGCCAGGGTCCTCATGCTTTGGTCCAAGACTCCATAAAAAATGCAATATCCTACACCCCTTATGCTCACTAATGTTCTACCTGGTATCACGAACAATAGATCGTTCATACAGGCACCCAGAGTGTTTCCTTATCGGTAGTACACACATTCCAGCAACGTGAATTTCCCCAATGAGATCTCACAAAAAGGCTAACTATGCTTGCATTGCAGGCCCTCTATAATCATAACTTATATTTGTGATATGTTCATAACATATAACATAAAATATATAACAAAGATCCCTCTCGCAGTTACTGCTATTGAGCCATGTTCCACCTCTTCTGTACCTTGACATTTGCTTTTTCTTGCCTAAGAGTAAAACCTAATTTTTTTTCTCCATTGAATTTTTTATTTGGAAAAAGGTTTTATTAATTTTCTAATTTTACATTTAAGTATTTGAAAAGCAATGTGGCGGCTGGGTTAACCGATAATTCAGTGACATACAGATATCTTTAATACAAATCTCAAAATACCACATTAAATATTTTTTTTACAACATTTTTATTGGTTTTCCAGTTTTACATTTAAGTATTTGGAAAACAGCCTGGGGATTGAATAGTCAATAGTACAATAACAAAAGTACATATCTCAGGTTACATCATCAAAAATTCATTCTCTATTTCCCTTAACATTTACTGTATCATATTTAGGCTAATAAAATTCTTTTCAGTCTTATCACTTTATTTATACAAATGGGTATTTTATGATTCTCCGCAGCTTCTATGACAGATGTTTAGTACATATGAAACTCCATAATGACAGCCACTGAACGGGACTATCTTCAACACATTCTTAGCATTTCACACAACCCCCTCAGGTTTTCTGACCTTTGTTGTACACTTTCCTCCCTACAATCAGAGATTTCCAGACCTCAAAACCCATTCTGCAATAAATGTCACTTGTTTAGGGGTTACCTGGCTATGTTAGTTAAATTTAAGCTTACATTTAAATAGGAACCTGTGGTATTAAAATTATACTTTTTAAAAATTGATATAGAATATATTTTTCTTATAATATTTTATTGGTTTTCCAGTTTTACATTTAAGACATCAGAGGACTGACACCATGTTTGAGTGCCTGGATAATGTGAAAGTTCCATTTAAAATTCCCACGTCATGAGACAGCAGAGGATTCCCACAGGAGAGAAACCCTTTGAATGTCCTCATTGTGGTAAAGGTTTTAGTGACAATTCCAGCATGGTAACACACCAGAGGACTCACACAGGAGAGAAACCCTTTGAATGTCCTGATTGTGGTAAGGGTTTCAGCAACAAATGCAACCTAGTGAGACACCAGAGGACTCACACAGGAGAGAAACCCTTTGAATGTCCTTATTGTGGTAAAGGTTTAAGTGACAATTCCAGCCTGGTAACACACCAGAGGACTCACACAGGAGAGAAACCCTTTGAATGTCCTGATTGTGGTAAAGGTTTCAGTGACAATTCCACCCTGGTAAGACACCAGAGGATTCACACAGGAGAGAAACCCTTTGAATGTTCTTATTGTGGTAAAGGTTTCAGTCAGAATTCCACCCTGGTAACACACCAGAGGACTCACACAGCAGAGAAACCCTTTGAATGTCCTGATTGTGGTAAAGGTTTCAGTTTAAATTCCACCCTGGTGAGACACCAGAGGACTCACACAGGCGAGAAACCCTTTGAATGTCCTGATTGTGGTAAAGGTTTCAGTACCAATTCCAGCCTGGTGAGACACCAGAGGACTCACACAGGAGAGAAACCCTTTGAATGTCCTTATTGTGGTAAAGGTTTCAGTGACAATTCCAGCCTGGTAACACACCAGAGGACTCACACAGGAGAGAAACCCTTTGAATGTCCTGATTGTGGTAAAGGTTTCAGTGACAATTCCACCCTGGTAAGACACCAGAGGATTCACACAGGAGAGAAACCCTTTGAATGTTCTTATTGTGGTAAAGGTTTCAGTCAGAATTCCACCCTGGTAACACACCAGAGGACTCACACAGCAGAGAAACCCTTTGAATGTCCTGATTGTGGTAAAGGTTTCCGTGACTATTACAACCTGGTAACACACCAGAGGATTCACATAGGAGAGAAACCCTTTGAATGTTCTGATTGTGGTAAAGATTTCAGTGACAATTCCAGCCTGGTAACACACCAGAGGATTCACACAGGAGAGAAACCCTTTGAATGTCCTGATTGTGGTAAAGGTTTCAGTACCAATTCCAGCCTGGTGAGACACCAGAGGACTCACACAGGAGAGAAACTCTTTGAATGTCCTTATTGTGGTAAAGGTTTCAGTAACAATTCCAGCCTGGTAACACACCAGAGGACTCACACAGGAGAGAAACCCTTTGAATGTCCTGATTGTGGTAAAGGTTTCAGTACCAATTCCAGCCTGGTGAGACACCAGAGGACTCACACAGGAGAGAAACCCTTTGAATGTCCTGATTGTGGTAAAGGTTTCAGTGACAATTCCACCCTGGTAACACACCAGAGGACTCACACAGGAGAGAAACCCTTTGAATGTCCATTGTGGTAAAGGTTTCAGTGACAATTCCAGCCTGGTAACACACCAGAGGACTCACACAGGAGAGAAACCCTTTGAATGTCCTGATTGTGGTAAAGGTTTCAGTCAGAATTCCACCCTGGTAACACACCAGAGGACTCACACAGGAGAGAAACCCTTTGAATGTCCTGATTGTGGTAAAGGTTTCAGTGACAATTCCACCCTGGTAACACACCAGAGGACTCACACAGGAGAGAAACCCTTTGAATGTCCTGATTGTGGTAAAGGTTTCAGTGACAATTCCACCCTGGTAACACCAGAGGATTCACACAGGAGAGAAACCATTTGAATGTTCTTATTGTGGTAAAGGTTTCAGTCAGAATTCCACCCTGGTAACACACCAGAGGACTCACACAGGAGAGAAACCCTTTGAATGTCCTGATTGTGGTAAAGGTTTCAGTGACAATTCCACCCTGGTAAGACACCAGAGGATTCACACAGGAGAGAAACCATTTGAATGTTCTTATTGTGGTAAAGGTTTCAGTCAGAATTCCACCCTGGTAACACACCAGAGGACTCACACAGGAGAGAAACCCTTTGAATGTCCTGATTGTGGTAAAGGTTTCAGTAGGAATTCCACCCTGGTAACACACCAGAGGATTCACACAGGAGAGAAACTATTTGAATGTTCTTATTGTGGTAAAGGTTTCAGTGACAATTCCAGCCTGGTAACACACCAGAGGACTCACACAGGAGAGAAACCCTTTGAATGTCCTGATTGTGGTAAAGGTTTCAGTGACAATTCCACCCTGGTAAGACACCAGAGGATTCACACAGGAGAGAAACCATTTGAATGTTCTTATTTTGGTAAAGGTTTCAGTCAGAATTCCACCCTGGTAACACACCAGAGGATTCACACAGGAGAGAAACCCTTTGAATGTCCTGATTGTGGTAAAGGTTTCCGTGACTATTACAACCTGGTAACACACCAGAGGATTCACATAGGAGAGAAACCCTTTGAATGTTCTGATTGTGGTAAAGATTTCAGTGACAATTCCAGCCTGGTAACACACCAGAGGATTCACACAGGAGAGAAACCCTTTGAATGTCCTGATTGTGGTAAAGGTTTCAGTACCAATTCCAGCCTGGTGAGACACCAGAGGACTCACACAGGAGAGAAACTCTTTGAATGTCCTTATTGTGGTAAAGGTTTCAGTAACAATTCCAGCCTGGTAACACACCAGAGGACTCACACAGGAGAGAAACCCTTTGAATGTCCTGATTGTGGTAAAGGTTTCAGTACCAATTCCAGCCTGGTGAGACACCAGAGGACTCACACAGGAGAGAAACTCTTTGAATGTCCTTATTGTGGTAAAGGTTTCAGAGACAATTCCACCCTGGTAACACACCAGAGGACTCACACAGGAGAGAAACCCTTTGAATGTCCAGATTGTGGTAAAGGTTTCAGTGACAATTCCAGCCTGGTAACACACCAGAGGACTCACACAGGAGAGAAACCCTTTGAATGTCCTGATTGTGGTAAAGGTTTCAGTCAGAATTCCACCCTGGTAACACACCAGAGGACTCACACAGGAGAGAAACCCTTTGAATGTCCTGATTGTGGTAAAGGTTTCAGTCAGAATTCCACCCTGGTAACACACCAGAGGACTCACACAGGAGAGAAACCCTTTGAATGTCCTGATTGTGGTAAAGGTTTCAGTGACAATTCCACCCTGGTAACACACCAGAGGATTCACACAGGAGAGAAACCATTTGAATGTTCTTATTGTGGTAAAGGTTTCAGTCAGAATTCCACCCTGGTAACACACCAGAGGACTCACACAGGAGAGAAACCATTTGAATGTCCTGATTGTGGTAAAGGTTTCAGTTTAAATTCCACCCTGGTAACACACCAGAGGATTCACACAGGAGAGAAACCATTTGAATGTTCTTATTGTGGTAAAGGTTTCAGTCAGAATTCCACCCTGGTAACACACCAGAGGACTCACACAGGAGAGAAACCCTTTGAATGTCCTGATTGTGGTAAAGGTTTCAGTAGGAATTCCACCCTGGTAACACACCAGAGGATTCACACAGGAGAGAAACTATTTGAATGTTCTTATTGTGGTAAAGGTTTCAGTAACAATTCCAACCTGGTAAAACACCAGAGGACTCACACTGGACAGAAACCATTTGAATGTCCTGATTGTTAAAAATGTTTCAATACACATTCCATTCTCACTCCAAGCGAGAGATATTTCAAAGAGGAAAGAACAAAACAAAGGAAATACATGGCAAGACATCCATAGTTCCCCTCCCCCCCATTGAATGGCAGAACCCAAAAGTGAGAAAAAGGAAAGGGGTAAAAGGGAAAAAGGGGTTTTGGTACTTACATTCTGATGCACTTCTGGATTTCAGAGAAATGTAGATAGAACACATCAAGAAAACATAAATACCTCTCAATAGGAGATATATATTGCAATTAATTCAAACAACAATGAATTCAAATCACAACGAAATCCAAAATCAAATTGAAAATATAAATTTATCTATTTCTAAGTTAACTCTGCAACAAAAAAACTTCCAGGAAACAACAACAGAGAAGGAGCAGACAAAACAAATAAGTGAATATAAAATTGAAAATAGCGACTCAAAGATGGAACTTAACAAAGCAAGAAAACATGATTTAATCCTAGTGGAAAAAACAACTCATCCCTTAAGACTACAAAATAAATCTGAGGACAAAAAAACAGATTGGATAAAATGGAATGTAGAGATGTTGAAAACATCAGAGAGAAAGGAAGTGATAAGAAAAGCAGAGAAGAAGAAAAAGATTTTCAAGAAACATAGAAAGGCAAAAGCCTCATATAAAGACACTTTATTTGATGTACTTCTTATACCTACAGCAACAGTCATGAATATATGGGAAAACTTTTTGATTCAGCAAAATACATTGATCAAGAAACATACTGGTCAAAGGAAAAAGATTAAAGTGAAAATTAAGAAAATAGATGATGGGATCTTCCAGAGAGAATATTTTAAAAAGAAACATTTGTTTGAATATGATTAAAGAAGTAGAAAAGATTTTGAACACATATGTCATTCTAAGAGGGATGAATTCCTTAAATAATACTGTATGCTTTCACCCCCTTTTTATTTTATTTCCTGATATAAGTAACATAATACTGTTGAAATGGCTTAGATGAAGGAAATGTTTTAGATAATTAAATGGGTTTGAATTTAGGGAAATTATAATGTATAAAAAAGAAAAAATGTTTGAATAAGAGTTAAAGGATCAGATGACTAGACACATTAAATGGAATATTTAAAAATTAAATATATTTTTAATTATGGTTAAAAAAATAAGAAATTTGGGGAATGAATATATATTAGCTTAGGGGGAATATCTATTTTAAGTAATATTTTACTTTTTATGTTTCTTTACTCTTACTCTCTTTTCCTTTTGTTTAATGTTTTTACCTATTCTTTAAGAAACGTAAAATTATAGAGATGGTTTATGTGGGAAAAATGGATTTAAATCTTTAAATGTAATTAACTGTTGAGAAGATCTTAACGAGCAAGAATACTTTGAACTTTATGGGAGAAACAAATTTAAATAAGGACTGTAACAGGATATAAGATGATTAGATAGAAAAGAAATATTATATTGATGTGATCATTATTTCTAAGAATATTGGGGGGAAATCATATATGTAACTGTTACTTATCAAAATAGTAAGAACTGTATCAATTCAAGGTTCTCAAAGAAGACATTTTGGGGAAAAGGAGAAATCAACTAAATGTACTATGTGGATTAAGGATTATAGAAACCGATTAATGATTTTTCTTTACAAATGGAAACCCAGCAAACACACTGTTTACCAACTGCTAAGTGATTTATGATTAAAAACATCAATAAAATATGTGAGTTTAAAGAAACTTATTATTCTGTAATTCTGTAAAAAGGTCATGAATTTTTAGGGTTCACCATATGGCTGATCACAAGCTAAGTCGCATCGCAGTTTATTATTTCACTTGATTCAGTTGCAAAGGTCGGTTGCTTAAAGTCAAAGACTATTTGATAGCATGCAATAAGTGAAAATATCTTGCAAACGCTTTAGGTACCTATCTGAAATGGTATAGGGCAGCGGTTCTCAACCTATGGGTCGTGATCCTTTTGGGGGGGGTTGCACGAGCCTTTCACAGGGGTCACCTAAGACCATCGGAAAACACATATTTCCGATGGTCTTAGGCAGGGCTTGTCAACTGCCTTCTCTCCCCCCCCCCGTGGCAGTGCCTCCCTCCCCCCCTCCGCTCCACCTCACTTGTTTGTGGAAAATATGCTGCTTGGCGGCAGTCTGCACAAACGCTACCAAATGTGTCCTGCAGGGGCGCATGAAGAGTGCAGGCGCAGAGCAAGGCCCTGCCTTCCCCAGAGACTCATTGTGCAGCAACCGGATTGATTTCTTCTCATGCACGCAGGTCAGCAAAAGAAAGGCCGCCCAGCACCCAGCTCCTATGCCCGTCAGCTGGCAACCCTTGAACTTGCGCTTGTCAGCTGGGAGGTGTGGTGACGGCTGCCAGTCTCCTTTTCCACCCTGCCCATCCTTGACGACTCCTCCACCCATTCATGTCGAGCCCGCCGGGGCTTGACAGGGAGAGAGGGAGGGAAGGAGGAAGGGACTCCTAGTTCTCTCGTAAACTTCAAAGCACAATTGGCTTCCTAAGGGTGCCACAATCCTCACGACAGCGGGTGGAGAAGCAAAGGGGGCGAGAAAGTTCGCGGCAGGCTTGAAGGAGCACCTGTCAGTGTTGGTGATGAGAAATTCTCCACAAACCCAGGGAAGGGATGGGGAAAAGGAGCCCCCTTTGGGAGGAAACCGCCACCTTCTTCTTGGCTTTGCGCTCTTTTGTTCCTCGGCAGCCGGGCTACCAAGCCTCTGCTGGCTGGAACTTCCTTTCCTTCCGTCTCTCTTGGTCTCTTCCTCCTTCCCTCCCTCTCCCATTGTCCTTTCCTTCCTTCCTTCCTTCCTTTATTTCTCCTCCCTCTTTGTCCCTCCTTCCCTTCCTTTTTCCCCTTGTCCCTTCCGTCCTTCCTTCCTTCCCTCTTGTCCAGGATCGGGGCGAGCCTCTACAGCTGATCGGCTCTTCTGCAGAGCAGCCCGGAAGCAGATCAGCTGTAGCAGCTCTCCTTGGCTCCTGCCCAGCAAACTTATTTATTTATTTATTTTATTTTATTTATATGCCGCCCAATCCCAAAGGACTCAGGGCGGCGTACAAAATTAAAACAATCATCTGACAATAAAATAATACAATCATACAGCGTGTCTGATCATATCCCGCCCCCCCCCCCGGGGACATCAGCCCCAGGCCTGCCGGAACAGGAGAGTTTTAACGGCTTTCTTAAAGGCCGGCAGGGTGGGAGTAGTTCGAACCTCGGGGGGAAATTGATTCCACCAGGTCGGAGCCACCACAGAAAAGGCCCTTCCCCGAGGGCCCGCCAGCCGACATTGTCTGGCTGACGGGACCTGAAGGAGGCCCAATCTATGGGACCTCACCGGTCTCTGGGAACTGTGCGGCAGTATGCGGTCCTGTAAGTAACCTGGCCCTATGCCATGAAGGGCTTTAAAGGTGATAACCAACACCTTGAATTGCGTCCGGAGACCCACAGGAAGCCAGTGCAGCTCGCGGAGGATAGGTGACACGTGGGCGTACCTTGGCGCGCCCACAATCACTCTCGAGGCTGCATTCTGAACCAACTGCAGCCTCCGAACGGTCTTCAAGGGTAGCCCCATGTAGACCGCGTTATAGTAATCCACTCTTGAGGTGACAAGGGCATGAGTGACCGTGAATAAAGCCTCCCGGTCCAAATAAGGCCGCAACTGGTGCACCAGGCGAACCTGGGCAAAGGTCCCCCTGGCCACAGCCGATAGATGTTGTTCCAAATTTAGCTGTGAGTCCAGGAGGACACCCAAGTTGCGTGCCTGCACTGAATGAGGTAAATTTGCCCCCCCCAGGACTAATGATGGACCATCCAGTTGACCTTTGGGAGGCAAGACCCAGAGCCACTAGGTCTTGTCAGGGTTGAGTCTAAGCCTGTTCACCCCCATCCAGACCCTCACATCTTCCAGGCACCGGCACATCACGTCGACTGCTTCACTGAAAGGACACGGGGTGGAGATATACAATTGGGTATCATCCGCGTACTGATGATACCTCACCCCGTGTCGCCGAATGATCTCACCCAGCGGTTTCATGTAGATGTTAAAAAGGAGGGGGGACAGGACCGAGCCCTGAGGCACCCCATGATCGAGGTGCCTAGGGGTCGATCTCTGTCCACCCGCCAACACCGATTGCGACCTGTCAGAAAGGTAAGAGGAGAACCACCGCAATACGGTGCCGCCCACCCCCACCTCTCTGAGACGACGCAGAAGGATACCATGGTGGATGGTATTGAAGCTCTATCCCGGGCTCGCCAGAGGTCATCGGTCAGTGTGACCAAAGCAGTCTCAAGTGCTGTAGCCGGGCCTGAAACCAGATTGAAAAGGGTCCAGATAATTAGTTTCATCCAAGTATCGCAAGAGTTGGGATGCCACCACCTTCTCTACAACCTTCCCCACAAAGGGGAGGTTGGAGACAGGACGAAAGTTCTTCAAAACAGCTGGGTCCAGGGAAGGCTTCTTGAGGAGGGGCCTCACCACCGCTTCCTTTAAAGGTTGCGGGAAAGATCCCTCCATCAAGGAGGCGTTGATTATCGCCTGGAGCCAGCCTCGTGTCACCTCCCTACTGGCAGAAACCAGCCAGGAGGGGCACGGGTCCAATAAACAGGTGGCGGCATTCATGGCCTTGTCCACTTCATCAGGGGTCACAGGCTCAAACTCGCTCCAGATAACATGACTAAGACCAGCCCCCGGCAACTCGGCTGGCACTGCCCAGTCGGAGTCCAGGTCTCTCTGAATCTGAGCGATTTTGTCCAAAAGAAACTGAACAAACTCCTCAGCTCTCCCCTGAAAGGGTTCCTCCGCCTCCTCCACTTTAAGAATGGAGCG